AATATGCACGGGTTATTTTCAAATGGTCACAGCATATTTCACAGAATATATTGCACATGACTCAGGATTTTGTTCATAGTCACAGGTTATTTTCAAATGGCCACAGCACAGGTCACAAAATATTTTTGCACATAGCTCAAGTTTTTGTTGATAATCACAGGTTTATTTCAAATGCCCACAACAAAGGTCAAAGAATATTTTGCATATGGCTCATGTTTTTTTTATATTCACGGGTTAATTTCAAATGGTCACAATGCAGGTCATAAGATTTTTTTGCACATGGCTCGAATTTCTTGTTAATGGTCACAGTTTAAATTTAAATGGTCACAGCAAATCGGAGCATCGTCAAACATCCGACAAAGCATATCAGATGAAGAAACCAACCCAAAAGCAGATCGGATTCATATTAGCTTCAGAAAATTCACTCATCAGATCAGAGGGACATAAATATACAACAATTTTTTGGTCCCAATTTCCTCTTTTGGAAAATTCAAAGTGACTGATTTCCTTATTCCAGAGGTTTGGAAAAAGCAAGAAAATCTGAATCAAGAAATCAAGATTTTTCTTAATGAAATCTTGACTTAGAAGAAGACTTTCAATTATATAACTATAATCTCATCACTGTATATTTAACTTCCATTTTCCTTCTGATCTCTCCACTGCCATGGCTTTTTCCTCCCGTCGTGGAGGTGGTGGTTGGGTCCATTCCCTCCTCCCCACCACAGCCACAAAATCTACTTCCAAACAAACCCGCAGTAGCCTCAAGCCCCGCCGGCGTACCACTCAATTGATAATCCGTGTTACAACAGTGAAAAGTGAGCTAAATTCAGTTTCTAGCTAACAATACACGTTACAACAAGTTCTTCGGCCATAACTACTAAATGGAACATCTATCAACGCCAAAGATCCAATATTAACTAAAAGCAAGTTCCAACTATTTTCACCTCACAACCATACGAAAAGATGGAGAAATTACAGAAAGTCATTTAGATTTCACCAAGATAAATTTACTTATCACTACTGCAGGAGCCATTACTACCGCCGACGACCAGCGTCGCGACGGTGCTGTAAATTAGGGCGGAGACGGAATAGAGGGGGAGGAGAAGGGAGGAGCAGAGGGAGAAGGGGAGAAGACATCGCCGACAATTGTGAGAAGAGAAGACGCCGACAACTATGAGAGAGAGAGAGGGGGTGAGGGAGTTATGCTGAAGGTGAGAAATTAGGGATTTAAGTGGGGTGGGGTGGGCTTGAGATAAATTATTTTTTATGGAAATTACACCATCCCCTACTTTTGGAGATCTAAGTTTCAAAATCAGATTTTAAGTTTTAGTTTACAAAAATCAGATATTTTATGTATAGATACAAGTTTTTTATATTTAATTAAATATTAATAATAATATTATAAAAATTAATTTATACACACCCCACTCCCACCTACCCCACCTTAAATCACTAAATTCTCAGCATAATTTCTCTGTTTCTAGTTCTCTCTCTCTCTCTC